TGTTTCACTCGCCCTAACGTTACTGGTTGATGGCCGTAATCACACTCTTGGTATTCCAACTCATGTTTAACAGACTGTTGTGCTACCGGGCTAGCTAGCGAGCTGTACCCAGCATGCCATTCGGCGGTGTAATTTTATAAATGTACAATTATTAGTGTTGCAAATTGTTTATGTGTCACAAACTGTTGTGTCGTGGTGTTTTGCCCTGTTAAAGAGCGTTAGTTGTGGGTTATTAATTGTTGTGTTATAAAGTTATAACCATGATTAGGGGTCCCTCTCAATACACTTAAGACAAATAGCTCCGACCGCAGGGCCCTTAGCGGCGAACAATATATTCTGCTGCCTGTTGAAGAGTGAGAGCAGTTGTTTCGGTTATGCACCGGTATGACGGTGTGTGAAAAATTGATATCGTATGGGAAATTAAAACCGGTATACCGCCCAGCACTAGTTTGAAGACTTTTAAAGTCTTCATAGTGTTTGTATCTGTATTTCTGAGTACATGTGTTAACAGTTCAAGTAAGTTACCATCCAATAGCCCAGGGGAACACCTTTCTTTCTGTGGCTTCTAGTGTTTTTATTGTCCATTCAGTGCCACTGTTTACTAATTGGTTCGCTCTTTGGACAACCAGGTGTGACCAGCTCAAATGTGACTCCACATTCCTGCCTTTGGAGCCCATGTAATTAGCTTCAACTGAAGCATTTCTTAGCGCAGCAGCTTTTCTCCCGCTCCTTTTGTCTGTGTGAGTCTGTCTCACCCTCTCTCCCTCTGTCTCCCAACATGATCTCTAATCCCTGCCTACACCTGTGTTTTTGGACTGGGCTGCACCAAGGCAAATATCCTCCCCATCACCAAACATAGTAAATCCGTTTGTTGTTTTTAAAGGGGAGTCTGGGCCATTTGGGCAGGTTAGCGGTCCTAAAAGTAAACACAAAATCTCACCACTTATGTCTCTACACATAATATAATGCCGAAAATGTTAGCTTTTATATTTGCATTGTCTTACTGTGCAAGCTTGGTAGCTGGTGACTAGGAGAAGGCCTTAAAAGAGAAAAAAATCTATTTGTTAGTTGTTGTTTTTTATGTTTCAGAAACTGTTTTGCTTGCTTGAAAAAAAGGCCGACTCAAATACCCACACAAACCCACAGTGATCCCAAATGACTCATCAGAGCGTGGCTGACCAACAGTCCTCCGCAGCCAGCCAGCAGCCTTATCAACAGACAGGGTCTTAGAGGGGATTGAAATACAGGAAGGACCTCCTGCACGGGGGATAGCTACTGGCACGCTGTTTGTTTTTGTGCGAGTGCGTCTGTGTGTGTTGGAATATCTATTCATGCATGCAAATGTGAGCTGGCACAGTTGGTATTGCTCCCAAAGTGAGATGTACATGTCTTGCAGTGGTTCTTTCCCTAGGACGTTTTAAAAAAAATAAAATAATAACTGCTCTTAATAGAAAATAGCCTAATAATTCTTTCAGTTTAGGGCTTCACATAGTTCTTATTTTTCACAGCCAGTAAACCAGGTGTGTCCTCTGTGAATGTGTAGCTGGGTTACAGCTACGTTGATGGAGAATGGTCACTGTAAATGGCAGCCTTTGACTGTGTGAATAGGCTTTTGTGCACCTCTTAAATAACCTGACCCACCAAAGGTAACCACCAATGAAACAGCCCCCCCCCCCCCACCTCCCGGCTGTTTAACAGGTCTCAGTGTTACCCACTAGTCAGCTTGCATGAATACAGACTTGTGTTTGGCAGTTGGCCAGTGGTCGTTTGTCTGCAAATGTAAGTCCCGGGTGTCAAGGAGCAATGCTCAGGAATCTGTACTTGTGTGGATTATTTATAGCCGTGCTGACATTTACACTGCTCTGGTCGGGGGAACACTCAAGGCCTCGCTGTCCTTTGATTATGGTATTACCCGCCTTTTTTCAAAGGTCACTCCTTTAATTCTTAATGTCCGTACCTGGTGATTTTCTGAAAATGTTGGTGTGCAAGCCTTTCATTTCACGTAGGTCTGTGGAAATGCACTTTGACGGGGTGACTCCTTTTCCTGATATAGGCTTCACTTCCTTAAGGAGTACCTGTGAATTCAAATGGCCTTACTCATCAATTTCAAGCTCTTGCAGGCCCCACTTGACTATGCTGTCCTAAAGTTGAATTAGTGCTTTTCTATTCAAGTGTATAACTAGCATTAACTTTATTTACTGTTTGGTAACTGGGGATTTTTGAGCAGCAGTTGACACAATCTTTATCTGTTCCCATAGCACAGATAAAACGGCTTCTGCCGCAGCAGGAAATTGATATTACCTCCTGTTATCCCACTGGAGTTTGACGCCTGCCTGCATCATATCTGTCTGATCCTCTGTCAAAGTTATTCCACACCAGTATCTTCCCCCTATCAGTTTGCATAATTCCCTGACTTAAAAAAAACCCACCATCAACCCACCACCCTCGCAGATTTTGATCACTTTGTTCAATAATCACACTCTCCTGGTGTTGGAATACTGCCTGTCATCATAACAACAGGTGTCAAACCTCCTTTTATTGCACCACTTGGAATTTCACTCTTTCCCTGCGTTTTATTATCTCACACTTCTGAGTGTGTCTGCACAAACGAGTCGTTGTGTGCATGCGGCGGTGCTGGTTTCAGGCAGGCACAAGTGAGGCTGGTCTTGTCCAAACAAACAGCTGAATCCAGCAGCTTCTGTCTGGATGGAGATGTGGAGATGATGTCATTGTTATTACTCCATTTGCTTTTAGAAGGCATGCTGATTATTGTCTCAGTAGCACATAAACTACCAATTTTTTCAACACCAGTTTGTTATTGCCATTTAAAGGCAACAATTACACTTAATTTCATGCCACCTGTATGATTAAATGAATAGTGCGAGGATTAGATGAGAGAGGTAGATGGGAAGATCGAAACCACAAATTGTTGTTTTTACAATGTATTTTTTGTGAGGATTAAACAAACAAGATATTACGCCTCAATTAGTGAACTTTAGAGATGCAGGGAGGCGGATGTTGTTATCTTCGGAGAGAGTCAGGCTAGCTGGCTCCCTCTTTTTTTCCAATCTTCATGCTAAACTAAGCTAAGCTAATCTATGGCTGTAGCTTCATATTTAGCAGACAGACAGATTTCTTCTCATCTTCATTTCCCAAGATGTTAAACAATTTCATTAAAATTAAATGATCTATTGTGTGCAGATGACTTGACATAAAGTTACATCAGAAAAAGAAGCCACAGTAAGCACTGCCGCTCTCCCCTCGCCCTTTTTTTGGCCTAAATCTAAATGCCGGGCAGTAGAAGTAGACAATCATTAATCTGGACACGAGGAGGAGGAGATCTCAGCTGCTACACTTTGCTCACGAGTAAGATCCAAAGAAGCAGTTTGTGGAGCTACCCTTCTTCTCTGTAATTACCCAGAGAGCCCTGGGGCAAATCTATGTGGCTGACACAAATGCCTTCCCTTCGTTTCTCTTTCTTTCTCTCTCTTTGGCTACGTGCGCACACACACACACACACATACACACACACACACACACACACACACGTACACACACGACGTCCCAGCATAGCGCCATGTGTCTGCAATATGGGAGGTCTTGAAGTCATGGCCTCTGCGTCTCCCTACACTTGAGGGGGAAATGGCACACTTGGCCGTCTCTCTGTCGGCATTGTACTCCCTCTTCCTTACATCTACTCTGTTCACTATAACATATTCATGCCTCCTGTAGTCTCGGCATCTTTGTTCTTTTTGTAATAAATCTGAGTACTGAGTTATTATTTCACCGACATATGGTAATATCTGAGGTATTTAACGTCAACTTTCTGTGTCCTCAGGTCCATGTTTCACTACACCGATCAGCTCACAGAGATCTGATCGTATAAATGGTATAAACCCTGTGAATCAATATTTGCTCTGTAATTTGCTTTTCCAAAGGTCAAAAAGTATCGCATGATTGTCTTGTGAAATACCCACGCTTGTATTGTATGCCTGCTAGAAACTCTTTTCACAGACAAAAGTGGTTGAGGAACCAGTGATCATGCAAAGTAGCCTATAATGAACTACAGAGCGTAAACACTTCTGAGGCAGGTTGTATTGCTTTCTTGCCAGCGTGTACACTTCTGCATACAGGAAGTGGGACAGAGGAGGTTAAGGAGAATTCACTGGGGTTATCTCTGGGCTGTTTATCTGTCCCAGAGAGTCCCTCATGCTCAGGGAGTGAAAACCTTCAAACTGCTACTCCTCTGCAGCCTGTTTGCTTCAGACGGGGGTGTGAAAAGCGGAAGAGGGGTGTTCGGGACTGTGTATCTGTCTCAAAGCTGAAGCCAGCCGGAGGGTGGGGGGGGGGGGGGTGTCTGATAAATGGGAGGACAGGTCTGCTGCTCCTCTCTCCCCACTGTTGGAGCTTCCCATCATGCTTTGCATGCCCTCTCACAGAACTCTTTATGGCCTTGGGTTTGGTGCCAGATCTCTCACACACTTGCCAACAGCAACAAGTTTTCTGGTGAATTCTCCACTATCACCATTTTCCTGCCTCCACAGTTCCACATAAAACAGTGCTGTATAATGCCTCTGACTTTTACGGCATGTGAGGAAACTTCTGATAAGTTTGTCACGAAACAGGCCCAGAGCCTTAATTTGAGAATACAAGTAACCAGAGCATGACTGGAGCTACGTTGCACAGGCCTACAGACAGAAAGTATAAACAAACTGTCAGATGAGGCTCTATGAGCCTAGCGGACACAACCCCCTCTTTACTCTTAGCAGACGTTTGTTTGAACATCTTTGATCTCCACATATTGAGTTACTCTCAGTGTCTGGAAAAGTGCTACATTAAGTACCGGAATGGAAAGAGTATTTGTTGTAATCTGTATGAGCCTGTACATATAAACCGTAAGTTATTATAACCTCGCTTCATACACCACTTTAACAACGTCTTCATGGGAATGGTCTGTTTATCCGTTCAGCCAGTCATGTCTCATCCCTCATGTCTCGCAGGATGTGAAGATATTCCGAGCGCTGATCCTGGGCGAGCTGGAAAGAGGGCAGAACCAGTACCAGGCCCTGTGCTTCATCTCTCGCCTCAGCCGCAATGAGATCATCCCGAGCGAGTCCATGGCCCGGCTCAGACAGGTATGATGTCATGGCGTCAAGCAGAATATGTGTGTTATGTGTATTATTTTCAGGTCTTTTTTACAGTGTGTCGTTCAGAGCATCTGAGGGTATGAACGCTGATCGTTTGTGTTGTCTGTGCAGAAAAATCCTCAGGCCATTCGCTTGGCAGAGGAGCGGAGGGGATTGGAGCAGCTGGAGATGAGCGCTGCGGTCAATCTGAGTCAGGCCTCTCAACTCAGCTCCCACATTCACAACATGTGCAGTGAGGCCCGGGAGGCCGTCTACACCAGGGAGTCCGATGTCAGACACTGGCTGGACCAAGGTCAGGGGTCATCTTATGTCTGTTTATCATTGAAACCAGCATAAGTTCTATGGTGGCATAATGTCCCTCTGTTCTCTTATCTCTTTCTCGTCTCTCCCATCCCCTTCCCCCCCCCCAGATTGGCTATCCTCTCTACTGACACTCTTTATCGACCAGATGCTCTCTATCTTTCCTGTCTCTATCAGACAAACACCTCTTTCCACTTCATTGTACTGATCTTACTGCTATCTTTGGCTTTTTGTTGATAAGGCTCTATTACTGTTCATGCTATCTGTTTACCTTCCTCTGTGTCTCTTTACGTTCCTAATCAATCTGACAAACAAATCGAATCATTGTACTCCAATGTAAACATTGGAGTACAATCCTCACACTTGCCTAGATTGAGAACATTTCCATCAACAATTTGTTTTTCAAAGGCCTTTTTGCAGTGGTAACCAGTATTTTAACAGCGATGAAGTCCAAATTATTCAGGCTGAGGAGAATCCATATGACTGCACTATTGTCCGCTGACAGCACTGTTACAGAGGAAACAATGTTGATGGTCATGGTTCAGCAAGCACTCCGCACCATTATCAGCGGAGGGAATCACACTAGCATCTCCTTTGCATAACAAAGCTCCCCTTTTACTGCTCCACCTCCCCTCTTTTTAGGCCACTTTGTCCGTCCTCCTCAGTTCAATACAGTATTGAATGGAGCGAAATCAGAAAGAGAATGATTCACACAACTCCATGATGGCTTGCTTTTGTTTTTAATACCACAGGCTCTGATTATCATGCCCGTCTCACGTCTTTGTTATAGGAGTGGATGGCTCCATATTCGAGGTCCTGCCCCAAACAACAGAGGTGCCCAGCTTTCAGGCCTGTCATTCTACTAAAGACTTGTGGCAGCCCTGTCTCTGCACATACAGCCTGCGTCTGGAGTGGTACCCATGTATGCTGAAGTACTGCCGCAGCCGGGACTCTACAGGCAAAGGCTCGACCTACAAGTGTGGCATAAAGAGCTGCAGCAAGGGCTACCATTTTACTTACTATGTTCCACAAAAACAGCTGTGTCTATGGGACGAAGAGACCTAGCATTTAGTTCTGGATTGTTAAGAAAAGAGAAATGCTTCTTTTTTTTTTTTTTTTTTTCTTTTTTTTTTCTCCCAGCCAAACCAATGCTGTCCCACCCAAGCTATTCAAAGTAAACACATGTAACACTGGACCTCGGTTTATGTGATGTGAGTTAAATGTCTCAGGTGGGGAGATCCAGTTGTTCAAGGTGAAACAGAAACGAATTCAGGTTCCAATTGAGACCAAAACCTTTGAGGAAGGAGAGCTGCAGCACGTTGTTCGAAGAGGGCCCACTGACTTTAAGCCTTTTCTGGGGGAAATGACATATCGTTATTAACTATAATGTCACTTTTGTGCCTTTTTTTTTTTTTTTTTTTTGGGAGAAATTATTGGAGCAGATTATAGATGCCAACAACAATAACCTCCCAAACAAGCTCCGGTATGCACAAAGCTGGACGGTGCATTTCTGCTCAATTAAAGTTGAGCAGAGGAATAACAGAGTCCCACTCTGATCACAGGAGTCAAACTGGACAAACAAAATCTACCATCCTGGTGAAGGAAAATTTGGATGGTGGAGTCTTCTTCCCTATAAAGCTCTGTGAATAAACTGTTTGTAGCCAGCTTGTTAATCACGATGTAAGCTGGCAGGCAACAGAAATGCTTCTTCAATGCTGGCTTTATTTATTTTGGTTGCAAAGTGAAATTATTGAGGACTATTTTTGTATCTTTTTGCATTAAATAAGCTCTTGCAGTCAAAGCCACAGGTCCTCAGTAACAAGTATCCACACACATTTCATTTGGTTTCTAGGCTCATCCATAAGTCATGCTACTTTGTTGCCAAGTTTTCATGGTTTACAGAGAGTTTGGATAAACACATTAATTATCTTCTCATTAGGATACTTGTAGTTCTGCTTTGCCCATGAATACCCAACATGTCCATCACTCACATTCTCATTATGTTTAAAAGTGCCAAATAAACCAAAGTCAAAGAAATTACTGTCAAAAGAAGGGTGTAATGTTCCAGTGTATTGAACCAGACTCTTCTCTGTGGTGTTTTTCCATGTTGGGATTCACTAAAACTGCAGTATAGCCTTTTTAATAATATATACTGCCATCTTCTGGTGAAACAGTGCTTCTGTTTATTATGTTTTCTGTCACTTCCCAATTTTTTTTTCAGTTGTGTTTGTTCATCTCAGCAGTTAAATGTCTAATTTATACAACTCGGATCCCTAATAATATTTGATGCGTAATTCAACTTGTGGGACCAAATTTAATTTTGTCTGTCTGGTCTTAAGAGAAGTCGGTTAAAGTATGATTTGGTTTTTTCTTACTTCCATCTTCATTTCAGTCTTTACTGCCATATCAAACGATGTATGTCATGCTAACTAAAGAACCAAATGAGTGGAACATTTCTATTTGTAACCTTTACTGGTGATAAAGTGCCTTAACATTTCCACTGATATCTTTGCTATGTAACTGTAGATTAAGTTTGTGAACATATTTTTTCTATGAAAGAGTTTTGAATATGTTGGAGAAAATTAAAGGAGAAAATTAAGCAGTTCGGTAATGTACCATATGAGAGTTTTACATGCATTTCAATAAAGCCTTTCTTTGCACTGCATATAGTATCGTATGTATTTATTTAATTATTTTGGGACATTTTGTGTCTTTATTAGACAATTTACAGTAGAGAGTTGACAGGAAATAGGGGAAGGGAAGGAAAAAGGCGTTGGAAAAAGGTCCAAGGCTGGACTGCATAGGGAATGTTGGGGCTATATAATCAGCATCTTAAACCCCTTGGCCTCCAAGATGCCCACTGATGTTCAATTTTATTGATAACTTGATACTTCATTGTGTTCATGTGGAAAATAGCTGTTTACTGACCCAATCACAGGAGGTCAAGCACAAGTAGGCTACAGCTTCAGCAAAGGGTGGGAGTGGGACTGCATTGCTGGTGTACACATGCCACCAGGGTTTCAACCCATGTCATGCAAATAAGATGTTATCTGCAACCATAGCACCACGGTTCACCCCCTTATTACACATGTAGGACTGTTAGTAATATTAATCATTTATACACAATGTCGTTCTTCCATTTTGTCCCCCCTGCTGGAGAAGAACGTATTTGTAATTCCTGCAAACGACCACACGGTGTCGCCACCGCTCAAAAAAAGATGAAGCCACTTCCCATCGCTTTGGGAAGATAGCAAGAAGGATGGAAACATACTTTTTCTAATAAACATTAAATAAACCTGCCATGGTCTCTTTAACTACGGTATATTTTGGGATAATACAACCAGGGCACATTCTCGCTGATTCTACTAGTTGCTACACCTGCATGCACAGCGACTTAATATGGTGGAAGTGCAATCAGGGATGCTGAAGCAGGCTGTGCTCAGGTTAACGACAACAAAAAGCAGGCACAGTGTCTGCTAACACAACCTGTGACATCCGCCTACAGAAACCTGCACGGAAAGATATCTTCACAGGAGACGCAACGCGCAGGATGTGAACAAAGAGACAGCCACATGTTCACAGTCAAGGTAATGATATTTTTTACTGCGTGCGTTATAATCCCATAGAAAGACGTTGTTAGCCGTTTGGACGTTAGCTTGCTACCGGTTAGTTTGCTAGCATAACTGATCCGGCTAACGGGGTAACTTAGTTAGCCGTTGAGAGAGTATCCTCTGATATGGAGAGCTGCTTCCTTTCCAGTCTGACCGCATCAGCTGCTCTGGGTGTAAACAGTCAGGTGCTATATTACGTTAGCAAGGGGATACACATGGGAACGCGAATACATTGTTATAGTTGACTGTAGCCTGTTTATTTTCTTTGTGAGCATCTTACAAACCTATAAACTGCCTCCACATATTTCATTTAACAGTCCTAGTATCTCAGGAAAGGTTCATTTATCATGAATCGCATACAATCTACAATCTGCATTTTCTCATTTTGCTATGTAAAGAAACCAACTGTGGAAATACGAGATGCATCATCTCGGGTTTAACTTTAATTGTATTGTATAACACTTACTTTGTGTTGTATGCTACTACTAGTTTATTTATTTAATTTTATTTACTTATTATTTGTCCTTGCGTCTCCCGATCCTGTGACGGATTTGTATCTGTCTTTTGTTTTCTTCTTTTTGTTTGTGTGTGTGTGTGTACTGTGTGAACAAGTGTGTCACCTGTAGACAGAATAAAACCAAATCAAACCTCTATATACTCGCATTCATAAACATCAAACTCTACCCATTGCAGCTTTTTAACGTCACAGGTGAAATTATATATACTTTAGTTGATATTTGATTAATATTTTTTTTGTAATTTTTCAAGCAAATTTAAAACATTCCCTGCCTCTCCAAGTTGAGGATTTTATGCTTTCCTAATATTTAATTGTAAACAGTCTTTGGACAGCAATTTGAATGCATCTCATTGGGTTATAAGGGGTTCTTTTCACTATATTTTGACATTTTAAAATCCTCATTCGAGAAAATGATTTGTAGTTGCCACCCTATTTTGCAAGTTGTCCCACTACATTTAGTATTACTGCTTCCTCCTGACAACAGCAACAGTCAACAGCGAAATATTTTATTATTTTACGTCACTTAATTTGAGCTGAAAGAATCTTCCTCTCATGAGAACTGTCTGAGGCCTCGCACCTCGTAACCTCTCATCTAGTTTTGAAACTTGCTCGAAGTCTTTGAGACTCGAGTGAATATCTTGTTCCAGTGGGCTTGACCATCTGCATGGTCTCACCTCCTAGTGCAAACGTCACACCAGAAGAAGAGACGTCCCCCTCACCCCACCAGACCCTGGGCCGGCCGACTATAGTGCCATTATAGTTCAAGCAAAGGCTAATTGTTGGTCACTTACAAAGGATTGCACAGTCCAAGCCTCTGGACGGTAATGCAGTCTCTTTCTACTGTAAGCGATATTACAGTGCGAGATGTGCCTCTGCACATTTTTTTTCTCTTCTCTGTGTAGTGTGATTCAAAGTTTGCTTTGATGACTGAAGTTTGTGAGAGAAGCTGCAAGTTGGTTTAGTGGTTTCCCTCTTTGTTTTGTCTCCAGAAGAGAAGATGGCACTGGTTGTGGTTGGTGCTCTCCTGTGCATCTCTTGTTGGGTCTCTCTCTACTTTATCCTGTGTAACCTAAACGGCTCCAGGAGCTGCGAGTGGAACTGTCGCCTCGTCACCCTGGTACACGGCATCCTGGCCGTCTGCATCACGGCGTACATCGGCTATGTGGATGGACCCTGGCCCTTCACTTATCCAGGTAGGACGCTTAACCCTCTGCGGACTGAAATTATCAACGTTATTGCTTGAAAAATGACTTAAATGACAAATTTGTTTACATGGCTGCAGATGCATTTATTGCCATTATTGATTAATTGTTTCAGCTCTACATTGTTTAGCATGTTGTTGAAAATGTATATCACTTGAAACAGCTATTAGTGTGCACGTTTTAATTCAAACCACTAATTGGAACAATTTTTGAAAGTGGTGACCAAATCATTTTACCTTTCCTGTTTCATTCGGTATGGCTCAAAGTTCTTAATCAGAAGTTTGTTTTGATGTGCTGACGTTAATATTTATCTGCTTCGTCTTTGTGATACCATGATTGTCATATTGTGTAAAGATATACTAACGAAAAACTGTTTATTTCAGGTACTAAGAACACTCCTCTGCAGATAAGTGCCATGCTGGTGAGCCTGGGCTACTTTATTTTTGATATGGCCTGGTGTGTGTACTTCCGCACAGAGGGACCCGTTATGCTGGCCCACCACACCATGAGCATCCTGGGAATCCTGTTGACCCTGTGGCTGGGGGAGTCTGGCATTGAGTCGTGCGCGGTACTCTTTGGCAGTGAAATCACCAACCCCCTCCTGCAGGCACGCTGGTTCCTCAAACAGACGGGACGTTACAGGACGCTGCTGGGGGACGTCGTGGACGTCCTGTTTGTGCTGCTGTTTGTGGTGATGCGAGTCTTCGTGGGAGGCACAATGCTGTACTGTGAGCTGATCTCCCCAAGACCCAGATTCTTTATCAAGTGTGGGGGAGTGGCTATGTACGCTCTATCCTGGGTGTTTATGGTGGACATTGTTCGATTTGCCATTCGGAAGAGAAAGAGCTGGCAGAAGACAGACCAACAGGAGACAGTGGCAGCTAATGGTCATGAAGGGAAGAAGGACTGATGGCTCGTGCTTATCTAAAGAAAATCTGTTTGTTTTTCACTCTGGACGCTCAAGGGAAAGTACAAAGAAAGTCAAGTTTTTGTATGTTGAGCTGATAATAAAAAAAGGGTTATTTCAATGTCAGAGTTTTCTATGTCGAGAAATATCGTGTGACATCTGCCTGTAAGGTCCCACGCCGGTGCATTTTTTTTAAACAACTCATTTTTATACAGCTATTGCAGCTGAGCACACGTTTGAATATTGTGTACAATGTGCAGTTAAAAAACAACACAGATGTAGTTTGTCACTGAAAAGCCAAGCGCTTTCTACAAACACATGAACAGATGTTGCTTTCATTTGCAGTGAACTGTGGCCTAGTCATATGTGGTGGTGGTGGTGGTGGTGCTCCCAAGGAAAGCTCAATATTAGGAAAGAGACCGCTTACATGTACTGTCCTCCTTGTGAAACATTTTCACTCATTTCAAAATGTTACGTTTGGTTACCTAATGTCTTTTTTTTTTTTTCGCGCATGGTAAACTCAGGGAGATGAAGTTATATCAGAATGTTGGGATGGACTCCAGAGAAGGTGTGTGATGTGTTTGATTACTTTGTTTAATCCATGTCACATAATTCAATAATTCAAGATAATTCAATACAATCTATTGTGAGCTGTCTGTACATTCTCCTGATCTTGTGTCTGACTTCTTCGGTTACATTTATTTTGTCCAGCACCTTAAAATGTTTTTTGTTTTTTTTGAAGTGCATGCTCTACACTCTGTTTGTCTTAATCTTTGAGACAAACATACGCTACAGTCAGGACCAACCAGGTTGCCTCTGAATTGGGACAAGTTGAAAATCTGTGCAATCATGCATTCATCTTATGTTTTTAGCCCCTAAAATGTCAGATATGAATTATCTACTGTCAGTAAAATCATATTGAGATGACACTCATTCCAAACATACTAACTAATTAATATTTGGATTTACGTGTGTGAAGAGTTTTGTCTTTAATGTGTGATTTTGCCGCCATTCGCCACAATGTGATATTAATCATCAGAAAAATGTTCATACTCAATAGTGTGATATTGATATATATAATATTGTGATATTGATTTCCACTATATTGTCCAGACAGAACACACAAGTGCATTTTTGGGATGAAAGCAGGTGGATTGAGAATATTACGATTCAGGCCGCTCCATTTCTAAATTTGCTCCATCGCCAAGAAATTTACCAAACTACCAGGTTTTAACTTTGTGCTCAGACTTTATATTGTGTTCCTATTTTTATGACCATATCCTGTTCGTGATCATAATATGATTGGATATCTAGAGTAACGTATTAAATCGCCTGCCATCCCTTTGTTCTCCTATATTTATATTTGATTTGTAGCTCATACGAGGTCTCTTTATCTAGTTGCCACTGTTAAGAATCTTCTGAGCAGCACCGTTATATCCAAGAAAGCAAAAAATCTAACTGGTGTGTGCCTTAGTTATCTGAATGTACTTTCATTATGTTTTGGTTGGTTTTTGTCTTGTGCTGTACTGTAATAATGAACCATTTTCAGTTTGGGATTTCATAATTTGCCTTTGTAATCCCTGAGTGAAGTCAAATAAAGACGTGATCGATTGTTTGTATGCTTTCAAATACATTCTGAACTCCATCATTTAAATATCGACGAAAGAATCAGCTGCATTTGCGTCATTAAACACCCCAGATTGTATTGCACTGAGACTGAAGTTACATAACCTGTCCACACGATGGTGTCATATCAATTATATATGAATGATCAGTGAGGAGACAGGGGGACAGTCATTTGGCAATGCTAAAATAATACATTAATAAGTGGAAAAAAGCTTTTACAGCATTGTCAGCTGAAAATAGTGTCATATTGTACCTTTATCAAAATGTGTAATTGTTGGTGTCATGAATTCAACAGTTTAAATATGTGTGCATTAAATCCATGTTTTCATGCGTTGAAGCACACAAAGGTTAACATTGTTGTATGTTACTATATACACAGTGTATTGCATATAATGTAGTATTGTACTGCATAGTGTCAGCTGCCAGAAACACAGATCATGTAATAATCGGACAATGCACAACACAGTGAAGATAATCATATACAGTGTACGACTTTACACACAACACACAAATTATTGCACATATTTCACTCGTGTACTGCACTTTGGTAAATGGACAGATTCATTGTAGTAGTGCAGAAACTTGCCTTTTGAAAACCACTGACGACATCCTTTATTGTATCATTGGTGATCTTAAATACCTTTTCTTTTCTCAGTTTGGTAAAATAACAGAAACTTACACGTACAGTAATTAAAGAAACATATTCAATGGACTGCTAGTGGGATCAGTTAATATGGATTACATATGTATGGATGTGTGATCTTGTGTACACTGACACCGCAGTAGATTGCAGATTAATTTGAAACTACAAAAATACAAAGACATGAATGAAAGCCTCCAGCTAGACTTGAATATATTTTGCATTTTCTGTCTATTACACTCTTTCTCACACATTCATAACACAAAACACCTGAGTGTGTTTTCACTCTGTTCCTTTGTCTTTCAAGCTTGTGGACGAGTTAAGACAGTTTCATCAGAGTGTCTTCTTGTTGATGATGGACAAGGAGTGGACTGTAAGCTGTAAATAATGAACATAATGACTATTCTCCCAGTCTCAGACCAACCACAGACCAGCAGAAAGCCATGAAAACCATAAAATAATCATACAACAGCACACATAATCATCAAGTTAATCAACCACCAAAAGAAAAGTGCCTCCTTACTGGAAAATGATAAAGGCTGGTTTCCCAAACATGGAAATGCAAGCAATCATGCTTTATCTATATCCCACAACTATAGGCAGTGTTGTCTTTACCAATTAATCTATTGAGTATACAATCTATATAATAGTTTAGTCTGTAAAACACAGAAAACAGAGAAAACTCCTTGGTAGTCTAAAATCCAAAAATGTTCAATACAATTATATAAGAAAAAGAAAAGAACCTGCATGAACCAAAGAACGTTTGGACTTTTTGGTTGATATCGATTGGCAAAATTGTTGCTGATTAATTAAATAATAGACGAAACTATGAATCACCAAATGAACACAACATAACAATCTCTCCCTCTCTCTCTCTCTCTCTCCCTCTCTCTCTTTCTCTCTCTCTCGCTCTCTCTCCCTCTCTCTCCCTCTCTCTCAATGCAATCTATGTTAAATTGTCAACTAATGTAGTGGTCTGATATACTATAACTGTATATATTTGGGCTGAATTAAAAAAAAATGCAATCGATTGATAGTTGTGTCTATAAAATAATCAACAAATGGTAAAAAAAAAAATCACAATTTTCCCAGTGTCTGAGGTGATGTCTTTAAGAAAACATAATATTCACATTTGAGAAGCTGAAACCAGTGATTTATTTATTTATTTATTAGCTTTTGACATTTTTCTCTAAAAAAAATATAATAAAAAAATGCTCACTCGATTTTTCTTTTATTGAAATTTGTCAACTAGTATAAAATAACTTATATGGCATACATCAAAAATGAAATGCTATATAAATGAATAATAACATACTCTAATATTACTACTACTAGTAGAAGTAGTGTTATCATACTGTTGTTATTATGTCCGTGTTATTTCTCAGCCGTGTCCCCCAACATGCTGAAACAAAGTGAGTTTTCCCGTCTCCCGGCGGAAGTGGTGAGTGAAGCGCTGCTGGACTCCAACAGCTAGCTGGCTAGGGCGTTGCTAGCGGCAGAAAGTGGGATTTTCGGTACCGCTTTTTGCAAGTTATTTCCTCGTACAAAATAACGTCTCGCGTTGGAGAAAACGGCGTTTGATGTTAGCTGAAAGTTTACACCGCCTCGGTGGCCTTTTGTTGTTGTCGTTGTTTACAGAGGACCGTTAGCTTTGGACACGGAGCTAGCCTGCTCGCATCCACGGGAATTGTGCCGAGAAACAACTGAATTGTGGAAACATGGAGTCAAGGAGCGTCGCGCTGTGCTAACCGACTTCTCTGGATTTTCTTTCCTGAAGGAGACTTTTTTTTTTTTTTGAAGGACGTATTACGGAAGACATATCGCAAGCCAGGCCACATTCATGCCGCGTTGTGCATATATATTTTGGCTCATTGTTGTGAACGGGACTTTGCTTAGTTTGCACTCGAAACAAGAGCAAACGGAGCAAAGTTTTTTTTTTTCTGCTGAAAGAGCTCATCTGTTTTGTTAGCTGTTAAGTTAGCTGGCGAGAAGGATTTTCTCCCCCAAAAAACACCCATTGTGCTTTATTTTAACCGACCGTCTAACCGTTTTAGTTGTTTTTTTGTGTATCTCACGTCTTACACCGGTATACCATTAGCTGCAGTTGTTGCTAATTCGTAACACGGGTCGTTTCAATTCAGTATTGAGCTATTCTCATGGTCACGGGAGAGTCTTCTCCACAGCCACAGGCAGACATTTCTGGGAACAAGGAATACCAAATGGGACTGGTGGGATTTCCAGCATCTTAAAACAAAAAAAAAAAAAAGATCATTTTTTTTTTTAGGAACCGAGGCCATTCAGCCGGACCGGGGGGTGGTGAAGCAGACGGACAGCATCGCAGGGCCGAGGTGTCTGTTACATCGGGATACATATCGTGCACGGATGTGAACGCAAAGGATACACACCAGGAGTTCATACATGCACGGAAACTTGTGCCAGCTGACGCAGTGTATTTATTCTTGTTGCCAACATATTGTTTATAGTCCTGGTCGGATATCATCCACAGCTAATACGACAGAGGCCCCGGATATTGTTTTTAAGCTATGCTCTGTAGATTCCTTGCTTTCCGATTTTTGGGGCAAGGAAGTAACGTTTATTGGCTAGCGTATAGGTAGTGTTTTTGTGTATGGACGTGCCTTGCAACAACCCAACAGTGTCCTACAAGTAATCTATCTCCAACACCATTATCAAAGCCCCTGCCTACTTCACACTTATGCCAAGAGAACGGACGCTCCAGGAAATCGCCTCATCACACTCTGGACAATGTTAATCGGATATAATTTGCTGCGAATCTAGAACCGGAAGCCCAATGAGTGACACACAGTCCAGCTTCACTGACAGGTACAGTATAACAACGGCCTTTATTATTCTGTGAATGCACTTGTCTGCACTCCTCACTGTAATACAGACATTTTGTTAAAAGTTTCTTCAAACACAGCCCACATTCTGGTGAAAACATGTTTTACATGGTCCAAGTAAAGCACTCATTTGTGGTGCTGTGCTCGGTAATAACTATGTTATACAATCTAATTACTGAGGAAGGACATCAGATCTTGATGGAAACTCATGCTGATCTCAGCATTGGGTAATGTTAGTTCTCTGCAGACAGTAAAGTAGTACTTGTCCAAGGGATTGAGAAGGCCCGCCACTGTTTGTGTGTGCCAGGGCACAGTCGCCTGGGATCCATGTGCACCTTTCAACATCCCTATTACACCTAAGCCTTTTAAAGCTAACCTTCTCCTACACCTATTAAAACAATCTCTGTGTTTAGACAAGACCGTAGCTCCGTCTGCTAATCACCTTATCTACGGCAACTGTCAACTCAAAAGATTTGACACTTGGCTAAATGATGTGTCAAGACCCGAAGAAAACACTTAATGGCAGAGAAGCATCAGTCTGTATAGTCCCAATCCTCTGGGATAGAATTGTCAATATTTTGTTATTGCATCTTCACAAGAGTTAATTCCCCTATGTTTTCGTACCTGGAGTATAAAGTGGTTTTCTACTCTCAATATGATGAAAATGAGAAGTCAAGCTTGATGCATTACATCGAGCCTCTCCACCTGAATCCCACATACTTGCAGGGAGAGCCGGCCCAATACGGTGGAATGTGCTCGGGTAGATTCATAGCAGAAGGACGCTTTATTGCACAGGTTGTGATCTGAAATCTCCTCCTGGCTGGGGCACGAGCTAGAGGCTAAAGCCCAACCCCATTTTACATGACCCCCCTCCCCCACTGCAATGATGGCAACAGTAGCTGGCACCAACTGCTATTGTGGTGCTGTTTTTACTGTGTGTGTGTGTTTTTAATAGTATTACCACAGTGCAAATCATTGCTGTCCAATCACGTATCACTCACAGAGGTATTCCGGATGCCATGAAGCACCTAATGTTAGGTTTCTTTGAGACAGTGTTGTATATCATACAGTATATTTGTCATCTCAGATTTGCTGCTTCACTAATCTGTTCATCTTCCCTTTAGTCCGAGTATGTTGGGTGACATCTTTAGTGTGCGTCTGTTTGTTCGGGTTTCACAAGCTAAGTGTCCTCTACGTCACAATTGTTCCTCGACCAGTAGAACATGATGCCAGCCATGTTGTTAATGTAAGAAATACACAGTGTGACATCAGTAGACTGGGAAAGCAACTAGCTCTGTACCTTTTTGTTGCACTAACATATTGTTTAGACTGTAGCTGATTTCAAGGGTGTTTTCCACAGTGGTTGATAATTACTTTGATTAATTGTGTTCCCAGTCTCTCCTTCTCTCTTTAAGTCCGATTGTATTTCCCCGTCCTTGCTTCCTCTACCTCTATGCGTGGTGTTGTGCTTTTTGTTTTCCGCTCTGTCGGCTGTGGTTGGAGTATGCATCCAGCGTCCATTGGGGCTGGGCTGCCGGCCGATGGGTCAGTTTAGCATGCCGTTAGCTCTTTGTCATTGAGTTGTGCTGATCACCACGTTCCCCACCCCCCCCGAGGCCCTCCCAGTGGAAGTGGTGCTGGTGACATCACTAATAGTAAACAATAGCTTTTAGTTGGAGCAATCTGGCTGCCCGCTGAGTGCTCCTCCACCAGCGTAGGCCAGGTACATTCAGGGAGGCTGGTTGGTCATGTGTTCATCGCTACCCTGTTTGAGGAAAAATGTGTGTGGCTCGGTAATGCTAATAGGGTTGCAACTAACAAGTTTGTTATGAAATGATTCATTATGATTGATCATGATGTAAGTGTTTATTTTGTCAGGCCAACAGCCGAAAAACATAAAAAAAGAGCTTTGGATTTATATTAAAATAAAAAAAAGTGAAAAGCAGATGCTTGGTGTTACAACTGGATACAAAAAAACAAAATCAAAATAGTTATCTATTGATATTCTGTCTGTTGATTAATAAATTATGTCAACACCAAAGGATAATAACGTGGCTCTGGAGTTGATGTTTCCCTGTCGTGGAATCCTCACGATGAATGTTTTCATGAGTAGTTCTAACAGGTTGGTCTGCTTGTATGCGTCTCCTGTATTTGGCATCCCTCCCTTATAATGCACTACTACTCCATCGAGTCAGCACTGATACCAGGGAAGCTGCGTCAGCTGCTCTGAACTGTGCATTTAAACGAGTATCCAGGAGTCATTTTAAGCTCTGATCACAAGTGCAGCACAGCATGCGTTGGAGAATGTTGTCATTATACACTTAACATGTTTGCTGCAACTGGGAGATAATGTTTATCTTTTGCAGTTTGGCAAAATAACTCTAGTTCAAGTCTAAACGAACTTCTGAAACTATCTTTTGGTGTTTGACTGTTGGTTACTTTAAAACCCTACGTGTTGAGGCCCGTCGGACTTTCTTTCCCATTAATACTTTATTGCTGCATTTTTCGGTCATAGCAAGCTCTTGCCAACCTAAATATTACCAGGTCGTTCCCAACTGATGCATTTAGATTATTTCTTGGCTCAAAATGTGACAAAGGTGGTATCTCAACCATCTACAAGCTTTTGTTTTTGAATGCAAACACATTTAAACATGCTCCAGTTTGTGAGCAGGTGTACGAGCCCCCATCTTCCTACCCGGCCTTTAGGGAACCCTGCTTCTGGATTATAGAGTAAGGATTAGACTTTTGAAGTCTAGTCATTTTAATTTCAATCAAAATCTTTTTACAAGGTGGTCTAACAATACATTTTAATTGAGAGGAATACCTTTACACAACACATCTTATGTAAAACAAATGCCACCTACACGATGCAGTATAGTGGTACACAGAAATATCAGTCCATCAGGAACACCTCAGTAGTCTTGGGGCTTGGACACGTCGCTTTTTCCGTGCCCTCCAATGCATTGTTGTCGATGTAGACGCACGGAAGGCGTGCTAAAAAAAGTGAGCTCAAAGCGAGAGCGACGCCGTTTTGGCGTCTATTTTTCAGGGCGCGATGGCTGCGCCCTGAGATTTATATAGTTAATCTTTTGGAACACAGCAACGAGCACCGCATGTCATGTGACGAGGAACAACCAATTGCAGCCGACAGATATGTTTCCTTTATTCCGTAAATATCGGTCTATGGTAAAGATAAGAAGTAAAGGTTGATTATTTTAGTGCAGGGCTAGGTGGAGCTTTACGATCTGTCCCACGGACAGTGTTTTAATGATATAATAGTATCATATTATTTTATTACAGCCACTTAGCAATGTCAGGCGCAACCCGTCTCCGTGCTCTGGAAAGTTGGCACAAGAGCAGGAACCCAGTTCCCGACCAACATGCCTCGCGTTTTCCAGTTGGTAAAAGACGCAGCATGTGTCCTCGGCCTGATGCAGTCAAACACAGCAGCTCTGCAATAAACCTTTACAAAGAGTATCATGTCATGTCACCATGTGCCACCCTGGAGTCATTCTACCGTTGCAATTACAGTTGTCAGTGATGTCTTTAACACAGTGCTCCGGAAATTGGTTTAGTTATTGACAACATGTTCACATTTAGGTTGAGATCGCTGGCTGTGGATTCTCTTTGCACCAATTATCTGCATTATCCTCTGACAAAAGCTGGAATCAAAGCTCTATCTTTTCATTATTACTTGAATTGTTTGTATTGCAGACCAAATTCTTAGTTTTGTTTATTTATAGAATGTAAATGAGGACCTGAGGAAGACTGCTCACACCCGGATGTCAATTTGGCAGGCACACACCAACTCTCACCGTACTCTGTTCATTCTGGCCAGCTCCCATCTCGCCCTTTTTCACACACTCTCTCAATCGCACCCATCACTTATTCCATTCTCTGCTTCAGTCGACCTGTTTCTCCCATCGACACCATGTTTTCATCATGCCTGGAGGTAGGGAGTAGAACATCAAATTAGCCTTCCCAAATTAGCCGTGTATAGATGAAAAGTGGACAGGTGGTTAGCCCATTCTGTGGTGTAGCATGGGCCCTTTTGTGTGCTTTTTTGAGGGTATTAATATTCCTCTTTAGTTATCTTAGTCCAGACAAGCCTGGCTAAAAGGAAATAAAGGGACACTGAGATAGCAAAAGAGAGAGAGAGCGATAGCAGAGAGAGAAAGAAACAGACGATGCCTCTGGGGTCGTGATGTTGGATTGTCGGTAAATTCTAGGCATTAGCTGGGGCTCTGAGTGCTGGGGGGAGTTGGGGTCTATCAACCAGCCCTGTGATGCTGATGCTTGTGGACACCCTCTACAATCCTGCCCTGTTAGCCAATAGAGCTTCAGGGCCCAAACATTACTTTCACTTCACAAAAGACAGGATCACTACAATGGAGAGAAAAAGGGGATGAGGGTAGAGAGCCATCTTCCCCAAGTGTTATCTCTTCACATGTCCATTTAAGGATTCTGAACTAGGCTAGTGCCTTCGAGCTAACTGTGACACTTGTGAAGCTACGATACTCTGCAGACTGCACAGTGGTCCAAGAGATGTGTCGCTTAGGATTTAGAGTACATTCTTATGCTGTTAAATTCCAATATTTCACACTAAATCGATTATGTAAATTGATAAACATACAATACGAATTTGTTCTTTTGTGTCAGTGCACGAATATGTCTGGCCAATCTTTGTAGGAGGAAACGGGCTGTTTGACGTTACAAAGGAGCTGATTGGGTGTCAAATCTGTGGCCTGATTTCTTTCCTCTACCCTGGCTCTCAGAGTGGGGGTGCTCTCTGTGTATAAACAGAGACCATCAGCCTGCTGCAGCACGGCCATTCATCTTACAGTCCTCGTTTATGCTGATTCAGGGGTGACTAGACAGACCAACACGTCCCTAACTCTTTCTCTACAAGGACCAGTGCCAGAACACAGGTTCTGGCACTGGTTGAGTGGAAAAGGCTTTTTCAATGACTTCAAATCAGTTTGA